TTCTATTCAGATTCTATGGTTCTAGTCCATTTAGTTTCTCTTGGTTCATATTGTAGAAATGATCCTCCTACTTCATATTTGTTATTTGGATCATATAATTCCCCTTGTTGATAGTTATTCTGACTATAATCCTTATAGTCATTTGTATCTTTTTGAATATATTCATCTAATTCAGCCATTTGTTGTGCATCTTCTTGTATTAATTGTTCTTGTTCTGTTTGCCTGAATAGTTCTTGTCTTTGTTGATTTTCTCTTCTAAATTGTTCTAATTGCGGATTTCTTACTAAAGATGATTGATTTGAGTTTGTCTCTTATGACCATATTTTGGTAATACTGGTTGGTCATCATCGCTTGTAGGTGCGTAAAGACTACTTGATTCTGATATTATATCAGTTGGTTATACTTCTTTTATTAGGGTTGTTGCTCAATTCCCTGAAAGCTATTTACCTGACATCACATAGGGTTAGGGTTAACATTTATTAGCTGTAGGTATATATTTTTAGCAATTTGTCACCCTTGTGATTTTGGATAAGTGGCCTTTCACGTAAATAACTTTCGGGGAATCATACCGTAACCTTTATTAGTGGTGATGATTTATATTAATATTGTTTAGAGTGGGATGATTGTGTCGATTGCATTGAATTTTTTCTACTTAACATCTGTTGTGCTGCACTTAATGTGCCCTGCAACATTCCTTTTGCTTTATCAAGAAAGGTTGGTGATGTTGGTAAACTTGGTCTTGTTTTTGTTTTTGATATAGTTTGTTCTTGTATTGATTTTATCTTGTTTATTTAACCATTCTAATGTTCTTCCGAAGTTTTTGTCTAGTAGCCATCTATCTGCCATTTGTTCTGTTTCTCACGGTTCATTTACTGTTGGTAGATATACTTCATTATATGGATATTTTAGTGGTAATATTTCTGGTAATTCTAAGCCTTGTCTTCTGTCTCGTTGTTGTTCTTGGAACATTCACTCTTCTTCATCTTCTATGTCATACATTTTATCTAAGTTTTCTAGAGATACTCCCAATAGTTCTCTATATTTTGCTTGGTATTGTTCTCATAATGGTTTACTTTCACATTGTTCCATTTGTCTGGTGAATCTTTTCATTAAGATTCGTTGTTCATACTCTTGTATTGCTTCAAAATCTTTTCTATCCAAGTTTAGTGCTTGGTTAGTTGCATATCCATATTCTTCTTCTAGGTCTTTTACTAGATCTCTATTTTTCTAAAAAATAGCATCTTTTGTTTTTGTTAATGCGGATATTGTTTTGTATAGATAAGCTTTTTTATCTTTAGCTGTTTCTGCTTCCAGTATTTTTCTATTTGTGACCCTTTCAATTTCTTGAATATGTTTATCAGTTTGTTGTCTTGTTAATTGGGAAATATATTTATAATTTGTTTCCATACTATCTAATCATTGTTTTAGTTGTCTTAATCCTGTTTTGATTCTTGGATCTTCTTGTTTTTTTTCTAGTTGTAAGATTCGATCTAATTGTGACAATTGTGTCTTAATAAATATTCTCATTTTCAGTGTTTTGACTTTGCTTCCTTCTTGTTGATTAAAGGTAATATTTAAGCTTTTAGCTTTTTCTTTCTTATCTTTTTTAGTATTGTTTTTTCCTATTACTTGTTCTCTAAATTGATTTATTTCTCTTTGTGTGGCTTCCAGATAAAGTTGATTCAGTTTCTTTTCTTGTTTATTTTGTGGTGCTTTATGTTCTGCTACAACTGTCATTCGTTGTACTTGTTCTGCGAATAATGTTATTTCTGGGTCATCAAATTCGATTCCTAATGGAATTGTTATTCCTGATGATTCTGGTCCTTCATATTAATTTTTGTGTTCTTTTAATTCTTGGTCTTTTTCTTTAGACCACTCTTTTTGGAGTGTTTCTTCTTGAAATGTATCTCTTGCCCATTCTCTTAGTTTAGAGATTTCATGTATTTGTGCTATTTGATTAGCTATTTCATTTGATGGTGCTTCTACTACCACAGCATAGACTTCTTTATGCTGTATAATCATTTGGTATACTTCTTGTTGTATACTTGCTTGTAGATCTAATAGGTGCTCATGTTTGTTATTTCTTTGCTGAATATCACTTCCAGCGGGCTGTTGTTCATGTGTACTAGTATGATTTCTTGTCCATATATTCTTAGTACGTTTTGATATTCATCAATTCTCTTGCCTTGTCTTGCAGCATACCAGTGCTGCGTATCGAAGCATATGTCTATTCGCTTCTTTAGTCTTGCCTTATCTCTATATCGTAACTCTTGACTTGTACTATTCACTATATCCATAAGGTCTGAAATGGTTGCACCAAAGCAATTATTGCTAGCTGAGTTTTCTAATAGTAATCTGATATCCTATCGGTTCTTGTTTATTATACGTAATATTTCATTAATATTATCGATTACATCTGACTGTTTCTTATCTCCAGCTAAGGTACTTATATGTATTACAGCCCATTTAATATTCATTTTTTGTGCTCTTGCAAGCTCTTGTAATATCCTATTTATTTTCCAATTTCTCTTACCATTGTGCCCATACAATGGTTGATTAATATACAAACCTAAGATAATATATAGTACTATTTTTAGCCAAATATTCTTGTTTCCTATTATAATATTATTATCTTCTGTTTTGTCAGGTTCGCCATTTTGTAATTTGGCATATCTTTTTTCTTGTTCATTTTTTAATTGTCTATTTAATTCTTTATACGTTGGGATGATTTGAAAGATGTTAGAGTTTGTAGCTAAAGCAGTTCTTACTATTTCTGACTATTTGCCATCACAAGTGGTTCCTATTAATTTGTTTCTGTGTTTATTTCTTTCTACTTGTTTCCTTAGCAAGTTGAGTTGTTCATTGAATGAATAGGATATTAATTCATTAATTAGTCTTTATATCTGGGATTATGATATTCCTGTTTCACCCATTTTTGGGTACTGGGCACCTTTTTTAATATTAGTCCTTGGCGACCAGTATGGTTTGGCACCATTCTTTGTTGGTTGTGGTGGTCTGTTTTAGATACCACGTTGGGTGCCTTTCTTAGGTTTTTTTCAGATTTTTGAGGGTATCTCATTTTTCGAGATATTTGGCTAGCTTGGACTTACTTAATCTCAAGATTCGGAGGGTACCCAAAAAACTAGGTCATTATGATTAGAGACTTGATCATAATGCCTAAACCTTAGGAATTTGATAGTTTTCATCAATGTCTTGATAGTTTATTGGTTTACCATGTATAAGAATGATGTGTCTTTTTCGATCTTTAGATATATTTAATCGTGCTTGATTGATTTCAGAGAGTAGAAGGTATGCTTGGTTTTCTTCAATAATTGTTACTTTAAGGTTTTCTTTATATCTGTCTACTTGGAAAGGTACTGTAATTTTTCTGTAGTTTTTGATTACTTTTCCTCCAGGTAATTGTGCTGTCCTGGTAGATAGTTCTTTTAATAACTTGAGTAGATTATATTCTCATGCTAGGTCCAATTCTATGACATTAGCACTTGCTTCTTCATTGAGTAATACTTTGATTGGTTGATTATTTATTAATGCTATAAAGTAATATGCTTTCTTTTCTTTTGGTTCATTTGGAACTATTTGTAGATCATTCACAAATTTATAGTCTTTGAGTAAATATTGGTAATCAGGATTCTCTGATGCTTTCTTTTTCATTTTCTTTGATAAATTTTCTTTGGCAGAACGTATTGTATACTGGTTATTTAAATATAATTCTTTATTTAATAAATTTTAATTAATACATTTGAGGTTATTGATATTGTGTAATTGATACATATTTATATATTTTCTAGTGTAACCATATTGTTTGTATGGAGATTGGTTCTGAATATTAGGCAGGTCTCCTAATAGAAAGAATTATATTTTTTATTTCTTTTATTATTTGGTTTTTTAGAGATAGAAGGTTGTGGTTCTTCTTCCTCTTATTGTAAAGAGTATTTTTCTTCATCATCTTCATCTTGGTAATGGTTCAATTTCTTTTTGAAGTTTACTTTTGGTTTTCTTTCATTATTAACTTCTTTTTTGGTTTGAAATTGTTTACTCTATTGTTTCAGAAGTTGTGTTGCATATTATTTGATTTTTTTCTATTATAGTAGCTTATATTTTTCTTTGGACATGAGTTTCTGTGTCCTTTAGTATATTTGCAATATTGACAAGGTTTGTATTGTGGTTTCTCGTAGTTTTCTCTATTTTGTGTGTTCTGGTTATATCCTTTCTTTGCAAATCTTTGGTTTGGTTTTCCTCTTTGGAATCTTTGAGGTCTTCTTTGGTTTCCTCTTGGTTGAAATTTATTATATGATTCCTTTTTGCATTTCTGCAGTATTTTTCATAGTGTTCTTTTTGGTGATATCTAAAGCATTCTACTGATGACATATTTTTTTCTCAGAGTTGTCAGTTGTATTACTGTTGAAGTTATTAATTCTTGCTCTTCTGAAGTTATTTACTTTTGATATTTTATTTTTTATTTGGTTAAGGTTTCTTTGTGTGTTGAAGTAACTTTTGCACATATTTCAAAATTCAGCTCTATTTGTTGGTTGTATTGCTGCAGTCATGATATGACTTTGGTAATCATGTGGTAATAATTCTAGTAAGAATTGGTATTTTGCTGCTAAGAATATGTTTCCAAATTGGTAATTTGCAAGTTCTTTTGCTTTTTCTCAGGCATCCCTGAATGCCGTGAATGAGTTTTCTTTAGAATAATCTGGTTTGAATCTCATTCTTTTGAATTTCTATTGGTTACTGAATCTGATATTGTCAGTAATATATTTATTGTCAAATACTTTTCTGAATAATACTTGTAGTGATGCATATGTGAGTCCTCCTCGTTCTAATCCTGTGTTATGCCAGTTATTTATAGTATAGTCTTTGGCTATATTTACCGGGTAGTTGGTTGCATCTTTTAGGTTTACAGTATTTCCTGCTCTTAAGTTAATACAAATTGTTTCGATGCAATTTAATTGATAGTGTTCTTGTTGATTGCATTTTCTGCACGTGAATTCTGGATATCTTCTTTTGGTATGTTCTTTTCGTCTACATATTACGCAGATTGCTTCTGGACAATCTCTGTAGTTATGGGATTCTTTAGTTCCTAGGCAAATTCTATACTATTGAGGATTACTTCCTCCTATAGTTTCTGTTGTTGTGTTTTGGATGTTTTGATTTGTCTGTAAAGATGTAGTAAATGATTGTTTATCTTCCCAACCACTTCTTGTAGTTGTGCGTTGGTCAATATCCATGGTTAGTCCAGTTTGAGAGTTATTTTCTGTGCTACTTTCCATGGTTCGTTGATTCTTTCCAGTTGTATTATGAAATTTTCTTTTTTGTGCTATTGATTTATAAATTGGTCGATCAGTTCTGGATAGCTTCCAATTGTTGGTAACTGGGTTCCTAGTATTTTTTTAATCTGCTAGTTTCTCTGCTGAGCTGCATTTGCATTACTGTTTTCTCGATTTGTTGATTGATTTTGGTTTGGTCTGTTAGTTTCTATATTGTTGAATATTGTTGTATTTTCTCTTTGATTTCGTTTTTATTACTAGTTTGTTTTCTTTGGTTCATTGATTTTGGGGTATTGGTCAGTCATTTTTGGGGTACTTTTATAGTTTCAGGGTTGTTTTGATCTGCATGCGACTCAGTTGTATCTATTTCCTTTTCTGGTTTATCTTCTTGTGAATTTTCTATTAATAATTCATTCCTTATTGCTTCAATCATTGTCATCCACAGGTGACCTTGATATTGTTGTCTCAAAATGTATTCATCTAGATAAGAGTCAATTCTTTCTTTGTTTCTATTTCTGCTGATACAGCATTTTTAATCCATTCCAATTTCCTTCTATGGTGTTGGTCTATACTCCCATCACTGGGTCCATAAAATATTTGAATAGTTCACAGTTATGTGTGGGTTACCAAGTGTTGATGTAATATCTTGATAAGCTGCCTATTAGTTTGTGTAAATAATTGTTCCTTCTTCAACATTATCTTTTATGATTTGTAATAATGTATTCTTATCTCTTTTGTTTATTGTTTTGATAAATATTCTTCTCTCAGGAGTTCTTTCTACTCCTCCAATGACCCATACTCCATCTATAGGTTTTCCGCAGTGATACTTTATACATCCAAACAAAGATTCATCTATTTCTACAATGATATCTTTGCCTCCTATCTTGTGGTGTGTATCTTGTACCTGCGATCCTATCATTTCTCTTATCTTATTTACATTATTTGTTATTGTTGATAGCACATATCCCATCATTAAAAACATTGTTTTTGGTATTACTTCGATAAGCCAATAATAGAATATTTCCATTACTTTGTTTACTGGTAAATAAATTTGTTCAAAAGCTAAGTTGGTGTAAATAGATTGTGACTTTCGGCATCTCCAATTGTTAAAGTTCCATATTTTATAATTCCTTTTCATGTGGTTTTCACATTGGTTACATGTTAACTCTTTGTAGATTAATTTGTTTTCTATAAGAAAGTTGATATATTCTGTTTCATCTTTTAAAATTAATTCAATCTGATCTCTTGTCAGGATATCTCCCCATGTCATTTGTTTGGTTACAATTCAATTTCTTCTTCATAAAATAATTTCTCAAATTTGTCTTGTAACAAATAAAGATATAAGTCTTCGAAGTACACGTGTTTGATAAGTACTCGATAAGCCGTAAATAGTATCATTAATTTGATTCTTGGCGTATTCGATTGATACTTCTTTTTTTCTTTTTGTGGTTCCTCTTTTGGTTATATAATTAGGTTATTTCCTACTGGTTTGAATTTTCCAATTCAAATAAATTTTATAACAATAT